AATTTTTCTAAAAGAGATGGTCGTAGATTGGCTCAGTCATCCGTTTTTGCTGGTTGCTGTGCCCGGCGGGCCTGGTGACACAGTCTACGGTCCGACCGGCCTGGTGACGCAGCCTACCCTCCGACCGGCCTGGTGACACAGCCTACGCTCGTACGGGCCTGGTGACACAGCCTTCCGTCCGACCGGCCTGGTGACACAGCCTTCCCTCCGACCGGCCTGGTGACACAGTCTACCGTCCGACTGGCTTGGTGACACAGCCTACCCTCCTACCGGCCTGGTGACACAGCCTACCCTCCTACCGACCTGGTGACACAGCCTACCCTCTGACCGGCCTGGTGACGCAGCCTACCCTCCTACCGGCCTGGTGACACAATGTACCCTCCTACCGGCCTGGTGACACAGCCTACCATCCGACCGGCCTGGTGACACAGCCTACCCTCCTACCGGCCTGATAACACAGCTTACCCTCCTACCGGCCTGGTGACACAGCCTACCCTCCTACCAGCCTGGTGACACAACCTACCCTCCTACCGGCCTGGTGACACAACCTGCCTTCCTACCGGCCTGGTGACACAGCCTACCCTCCTACCGGCATGGTGACACAGCCTTCCCTCTGAGCGGTGATGGTGCGGCCGACGGTCGTTTGACCAGGACACGCAGTTTCTGCTGTCCACCACCGCAGTTCCCACTGCTCGCGGACACGGGCGTTAATCTCTGCCCAGTGATGAGGGGCCCGACCCGTCCACCCGGATCCGACGACGTGCTTGACGACGACACACGCAGAGCTCTGATGCATTTTCAAGGAAACTAGCATGTGGTAAAAGAAGCAGTGCGTCATCTCTCGTTCTCCGTTTCATCCGTTCATGGCCGGTGAGCCCAAGCCGCTTTAGACGCTCACCTTTGCCCCCAGACCTACATGGCCTGCGGACGCTGGTAGCGGCACGTTAAATGTCAGGTTGCCGAGCATTGCGGTACATGAGCCTTCGCCGTGAAAGTATGTTGTTGACTCCGAATTTCACGATGGGACGCTGGGGTCAGGACTCAGGCAAGTTGTACTGTTAAGCGTGGGCACTGATTCGAGAAATTCATCCAATCAAGAGGCTCGGACTAAATCTTTTACAAAAATGATGTTACAGGCGCAAGCTCATCTCCAAAATTATGGAAACAAAGATCAAATGGCGCTTAGGTGATGCAGCAACACACGATGAAATGAACATATCCAGTGGGGCAATTGGAACAGCAAGACAAATACACCCCAGGAAGCTACATAAATGCATGAAAATTCAGGTGGAGCTACCCTTTACAAAGGTTAGCAGGGTTTGCGTAGCGGTCCATGTCGGGCAAGGGCCGCTCGTGGCAGTGAACCTGTCTGAGTACGACGCACACGATAAGCCCAACGGGCCGCCGAGCAGCGGCGTCTTTACACGGATTCTCGGCTGTGCCAGAGGCTCCCTCGCTGTGTCAGTGGTTCCCTCGGCTGTGTCAGTGGCTCCCTTGGCTGTGTCAGTAGT